GAAAGAGTGCATTTCTTTCTGTAAGCTCCCAATAAAGAACCGATTTCCTTGCCTTTTCGAGCTTATCTCTCTGACCATTCTTCCATAATCATATCTTCCTCTGACATTCCTTTCTCCCCCAAGATAATCCAGTGTAATAGCTCTATCTCAAGGTTCTCAGTTACATCTGAAAAGTCCATTTTGTCATGTAAGATAACATATTCACAGGCTCTAGCTTTTAGGATATGGACTAAACATCTTTGGCGGGGCAGGGAGGCACTATTCTCTCTGCCACAATGATAGACATTGAAAAATGTTAATTTCCACTAATGAAATAATAACCTTTAACTCTCATAATATTAATTTTGCATTAAGCAGTTTTCCTTTAAGGAGTTTATATGTTTTGGGCCTCTTGTGCAAAATCATTGTGAAAATGTATAAGCACATATTTGACAAACTAATTTTTAATGTTATGATTAGAATACTGAGGTTGTAATTACACGTAATTAGACAGAACATTTAATTTAAGAAATTTATTATGGATTAATTAAATATTTTATAGAATAAACATTCTCTGTCCCAGCATATCTATGACTGAGTCACATTTATTGCATATATGGATAAACACTACAAGGTGTTTTTTTTTTTTTTTTACATCTTTATTGGAGTATAATTGCTTTACAATGGTATGTTAGTTTCTGCTTTACAACAAAGTGAATCAGCTATACATATTCATATGCCCCCGCATCTCTTCCCTCTTGCATCTCCTTCCCTCCCACCCTCCCCATCCCACCCCCCAGGTGGTCACAAAGCACCAAGCCCATCTCCCTGTGCTATGCGGCTGCTTCCCACTAGCTATCTATTTTACGTTTGGTAGTGTATATATGTCCATGTCACTCTCTCACTTTGTCACAGCTTACCTTTCCCCCTCCCTGTATCCTCAAGTCCATTCTCTAGTAGGTCTGTGTGTTTATTCCTGTCTTACCCTTAGGTTCTTCATGACATTTTTTTTCTTAGATTCCATATATATGTGTTAACATATGGTATTTGTCTTTCTCTTTCTGACTTACTTCACTCTGTATGACAGACTCTAGGTCCATCCACCTCATTACAAATAGCTCAATTTCATTTCTTTTTATGGCTGAATAATATTCCATTGTATATATGTGCCACATCTTCTTTATCCATTCATCTGATGATGGACACTTAGGTTGTTTCCATCTCCAAGCTATTGTAAATAGAGCTGCAATGAACATTTTGGTACATTACTCTTTTTGAATTTTGGTTTTCTCAGGGTATATGCCCAGTAGTGGGATTGCTGGGTCATATGGTAGTTCTATTTGTAGTTTTTTAAGGAACCTCCATACTGTTCTCCATAGTGGCTGTACTAATTCACATTCCCACCAGCAGTGCAAGAGTGTTCCCTTTTCTCCACACCCTCTCCAGCATTTATTGTTTCTAGATTTTTGCACAGCAAAGGAAACCACAACCAGGACCAAAAGACAACCCTCAGAATGGGAGAAAATATTTGCAAATGAAGCAACTGACAAAGGATTAGTCTCCAAAATTTATAAGGTGCTCACGCAGCTCAATAACAAAAAACTGAACAACCCAATTCAAAAATGGGCAGAAGACCTAAATAGACATTTCTCCAAAGAAGATATACAGACTGCCAACAAACACATGAAAGAGTGCTCAACATCATTAATCATTAGAGAAATGCAAATCAAAACTACAATGAGATATCATCTCACACCAGTCAGAATGGCCATCATCAAAAAATCTACAATGTGTTTTTTTAATTGGTGATATTAACTAAATGATTTTCAGATTTATTCATCAGTTTGTGATGCATAAGCACAGTGAATAACTTCAGAGTTTTTAGCAATATTCATTATCACAAAAGTCCTGAGAACCATAACCATTACTGTTGAGATATATAAAAGAAATGTTATTTTTATTTAAATTCATAGTTTAAAACTATAAAAATCTAAACAATACTAATGAACTGATATTGATAGGTCTTAGTGTTAGTTTCAAAAAACCCATCATTGTGTCCTGTGACTATCAAACTATTTTGTTTGCAAAATTCAACATGAATTCCTAAGGTCTGATAGATCACAAGTATATTATTGCCGTAAGTTTTGTCAGTGCAGAAAGACAACATGTACCAGGTGCCACTATTTGTAAGTTTTATTCCAGGGTTCCAGGTGTTTACCTTTGGGGGATCTTCTTACTCAGACAGTAAGCTCACCCTCCAGGTTATGGCCTGAACATTATATCAATGTGGAAGCTTACAATAACAAATTTTCACTAACAATAGTCACTTCACTTCGTAATCCTTGATGAATTTCCTAGGAAAGGAAATGGAAACTAACCTTTCTTGAGCTCTACCATGTATTGGCATAGCACTGAGCCTTTTCATCTTTTTCTCTTATTTAACCCTCACAATATCCCATTAATTTCCCAAGAACAAAAAAAATATGGTTTTGTCTGAAGATATGTGTTTAAGACCAAGTATTATGGATGTAAGCACTTTCAGGATGAGAGGTCAACATTTCAAATGTTATGGACTCCACCAACGTGAAAAACTTGGTGCAAGATCACATTTCCTTTTGTGTTTCCTTTTGTGTAAGGAACGGATCCCAGAGAGTCCTTCTCCTGTTCCTTCTCTGGAAGAGAGTCATCGCCCTGGGAGCCAGACCTCCTCCCACCCCAGCAGCAGCGTGTCCAGCTCTCCCTCTCAGATGGATCACCATTCGGAGAGAATGGGTGAGTATCTCACCTGAAGCAAGGAACTGAAAGATAATCTTTCAGGAAATTCTTCATTAGGCAATAGAGAGGGGAGAAAAACCTGGGGGAATTGATGCTTTTTGAAAAGTGGTGATTCTTTATTACTGAAGCAATATGAACAACAAAAAGGTGTTAGAAGTTTGTTCTCTGGAAGGGGCTTCATTTACTGTATCCCTGGATCTCATGGGAACAATTTGATGGGATTTTTGTAGAGTATATGTTAATTCAATATGCTGGTATTTGGCAGCTAGTGTGATACAAATCACTTGCTATATTCACAGCACCCTTTGAATAATGGAAGATAAAATATCCTTTGGACAATTGATCATGTAAGAGTGATTAAAAAGTGAATCAATATATGATTTGCAATAATCTCAGCAATTCAGATCACAAATTTTAACATGATTTTTCCTACGTTTCTTTTTTATTGTTTCAGAAGTCTTACACCACAGACACTATTCCAGAAATATTATAATGTTATTGTCAGTGATCTGACATATTGGAGACTTGAATCTAGACACAGTCTGGCACTAACTAGCTATGAGATCTTGGGTATGTCACTTAACCACAATGAGTATCTTTACCTAACATATGGATATAATTACTGCTCTGCCTATTGCACTGGAGTTTTATGAGGTCAAATGAAATAATATGTGGAAAAAACACTTCAGAAATTTAAAGCGCTAAGGAAATGTGAAGGATAAGCACTATTTTTCTCTGTGTGGCTTTACCTTGATTGCTTATCATCTCCTGCTGTTTGATCCTACTCAGGTATACAGACATTACCCAGTGCATTCAGCTATAACAAATTCTCATTTGATATATAATAAGTATGAACCAAGTGAGCTAGGTAAAATCTTTATTAATCTTCTGTACCTACACAATCCAATTTCCTAAGTATCCATTTCCTTTAGGGAAAATAATATCTTCTCTTCTTTTAGTCTTAATATTGGGACATTTTTAATGTAAATTCTAAGTTTTTACACTTCATAAGAGTGATTGCTTCAAGACTCTCCAAAATAATGTTTTTATGGGGGAGGAAAGGAATTTGAGGGATTAGGGAAGGTGTTAGGTTCTGGATTTGTGGTGGGGAAGGAAAAAGATGATTTCTCTCTTGTGGAAACTCATCCAAGTCTCACTTAGCTTGTCAATATTATATATTCTTTGTAACTATTTAGCTTCATAGTGAGCCCAGTGCGTCTCAAATCTGGCTCCCCATTATAATCGCCTATGGAGCATTTACAAATCTGGATGCCCAGGCCACACGCTCAGGGTCTCATTTACCTGGTCTGGAATAGAGCCTAGAAGGAGTGTTCTGTTTTGCTTTTCAATATCTTCTCAGGACATTCTAATGTGCAGCCAGAATTAACCACTGAATTAGAACTTGTAGCTAATGACCATAAGGGAGTAAATTTAATTCCTGGAAGAGGTGACAGAGGTTTTCTAGCTTTACTCTGTTCTGTGGATGCAGACTAACCTACTAGTTACAATATTGTGTGCAACAGATTCAAGAGAGTCTGAGCAAGACCTGTGGGGGTAGCCAGATGACCATAAAGGAATCAAGAAACATACATTCTTCTATTAGGAAAATATTTGTACTGATGAGGGAGGGCGGTAGAGAGGAAAAAGAGAGAGAGAATTATTTATTGAGTGCTGGCTAAAAGCAGAGAACACAGGGAAATATGTGTACTCTGTAATAGACATATCGTAAGAGATGTCATACTTAGAAATCAACTATATCCAAAGCAATATAATATTATAAAAAATCTTGACAACGTAAAACATTTCTTGTTCCACCGGCAGTAATTATACTCTCTATGCACATTCCACAATTGTCCAAGCGTGATAGTGAGATTGTCTATAAGTGAATTAAAAGGTTTGATGATTTTTGGCTTAAAGTGACCATACTTTATTGATAGTGCTATATAACATTTTAATAAAATGTAACTAAATAGAATTAAATGATAAACTGAAATTGACATGTTTTTCCTCTTTCAATATAAATGTCTTACGAAGAAGCACTTACAATTACCAGAAAATTATATTTTATCTATTAATTTTGCTATATATTTGCAAAAACTCTACAAAATAAACTAAAGTCATAATTATTTTAAACTCATGGAATTAAGTGCAAAATTATCTCTGAAGCATTTTGGGAAATATATTATTAATTATGGAGGTAAATAACTAATTTGTACATGAATTTCAAAAGAGGAAATATTTTAAATGATTTAAAGAAAATATGTTGGAAATTATATATGTACTATGTATTAATTATACTGTAAAATTCATATGATTAAGCAGCTTATTGATTTTTAAATTGTATGATAATCAGAACAACAAAAATCTTCACTTGTTCAGAAGTAGAAGTGTATAAAATTCATGTTGTTATTGGAGTAAAATAGGTATTTATGTAATGGTTTTCTGCTTTTCTTTTGGGTGTTTTGCAATAAAATTACTCAGCTATATCTCTCTTATTTATAGTTATGATGCCCAACAATAGAGAGGAACTTATCGTTGATCAGGATAATGGACCAACCATCAAAAAATTCCAAAGGGAAAATAAAGGTAAAATGACTTTTGCTTATTTGATGTACATATAAAGATCAGATACTAACTCAATTAACATCCCATTGCTGTATATTGCATCCACATTTCCCTAAGTCAGAACAGATCCATACTGGCTTTGGATAAATTCTTTTAGTAGTAAAAAAATAATATTTACCTGAAGCTTGTTTATTTGATGTTATAAATAACATATTAGTCCAAAGTTTCTCTGTGCCTATGGTTGGAAACTTTACCCTAAGCCCTTTTATTATGCCTGATCCGAGACATCTGATTCTCTTTTTATTATGTATGCACTTTGTTGACTATATTTAAATGAATCACCATTTGATGGTTATGTTTGAAAAACTTGAGTTGCTGTCATAGAGGAGAGATGTTCCCTTCAACACTCAAAAGTGATTTTAAAAGTATATGCTAACTTGGACATTTCAGAGGAAAGTTTAGCAAGCAGCTCCAATCAGGTATTTACCTATAATATTGATAGATATGACATCAATCTGGCTTGTAATCAACTGAGGAAAGTAAGAATTTCAAAGACTTGCTTCCTTGATATGAAAACTGAGTACAACTTTGTTTAAAAGGCTGTAAAGGTAAGAGTAAAGGAAAATATATCAGCATATGTTATAGGCTATGCATTATTACTGTCACCATGAGTTAGTAACTCTAAGCTAAAGAACATAAGCTAACATGTAATTTATCAGATCGTCAGATGGTCCGATTGTACTTCACTATAGGGTGCATTTTTCCATCTTTAATAAAGATGCTCATAATATACAGAAAAAAACACTCCATGAGCTGAAGAGTTAATGGAGAAATTTTTTATTTCTTCTCTAGACTGAACTTGCTTTCTAATTACCTAGATGAGCATTTTAGTTAGAATTTGGAATAATGTATAATTTTAATTTCATTGATCCATTGTTGGTTTCCTTGCCACATATTTTGTCTTTTCTTATCCAAACACTGAAAGACTCTACCCTCTGGGGCCCCAAGATATAAATACTTTATTTCAGAAAAGTGGTGAGAATGGAAGTCAGGTTCAGTATATTAAACTACCCAAACTCTTACAGAGGTAATGGAATTATAGTTAAAGATGAAATTTCATTCATAACTCAAAAACAATTTGTTCCTGAAACTTCTTTCCTAGCAAGTCATCACTATTTGAAGGACAGCTTGGAAGTAAAGCATACTTTCTAGGAAAATCTCGAGCTGTACATGATACATATGATTCTGTCAGAACTGCAAAACCCATAAGTCAAAATGGCATTTAGGACTGGTCTGTTTGCTGCAGTGTTCAAGTACACACTGCTGTGTCTTATTAAAAATCAGCTGGAGTGCTAGTACAGATGTACAGTAGCCGATTTTCATAAAATACACAGTGGTATGCACTGGCACTTCTGAATCTCTTACTGTGGAATGGCACAGTTATACTCATTTCAAATATGTTGGTCACATATCCTGGTGAGGACATGAATAGACTGGAGTGGCATATTAAACTGTACTTCTCTGGTTATAATGGAAAACTATCTTTTAAATGAGATTTTCTATGTCAAGTTCTACCAGTTACATTTGTACTTAAGATACAATATATTTTCCTCAAATAGATTTTAGTTCTTAAAAGGGAATGCAGTTAAAGTAGAAATCTCAACATTTATTAAGTTTGAAAAGTAGACAGTTTATACAACTGTAGCAAACATATATTTTCACATCTGTTTTGAGTAATATCGTGATTTTAAAAATGATTTATAGCTCTGGAAATTATATAATGCCAGCTTTGCTGTTATGTGGAAATTTTCAGAAAATGATTAGAGTATGCTTCATGTAGCCCGCCTCTTACTCTACCTTGTAAAATTGGGTGACAGCTAGTGTGATACATATCTCAAATAATAATTTGTATTTTGCCTTAAATTTTCATATGCAGACATTTCAAAGTCTATATGATCTGGGCTTTCATGCAATGAGTTCCATTTAGACTATGTCCAACATGACTTACCAGAATTGCTATTTTAGTTTTGACTCAAGTATTTTGACTAAACTGACTCGTCAATCAAATAAAGCCTTTGATTTTATTTTTCCACAGACTTAGTCAAACAAATTGACCAAACCAATCACATGTTATGACATTTTGTTACATAATTTTTAGCAATCAGTTCTGGGATTCTTTAGAGACTTTGGGACTATATACCTTCACCCATGTGGAAGCAAAGGTCCAAAACAAGACCCTCTGCCCTTGGCAGCCACTGGTCTCCCAAACTGCTGTCAGGAATAGGGGCTTTTTGATATTTTGCATTTTGTATTGAATGTATCTATTGAAAACTTTATATGTACGAGAAGAATTGATGGTCAAATTTGGAATGCTTTTTGTTTTTCTGCTCCAGCACCATTTGTGGAAAAAGCTATTCTTCCTTCATTGAATT